AACTCGGAATAGAGTCTTTTTAACCATATAATACTATCGGTTGTCTTTGACTCATCCATGAAATTACAGCACCAGCGTATTTTATTATTATTCCTGATGTCGATCTACCAGTCTTTAAGCAGCCTCCAAAGTCAGCATCACTGTAGCATTCGAACTTTAAGTTATTGTCAGCCGTATAAGTAATACCATATTCTTTTGTACCAGCAATATATCTAAATACTCTTTTTACTCTAACAATATCTTCTTTTGAAGGATTATCTAAAGTTCTAGACAAGTATCCAATACTGTATGCAAGATCTGGTCTTGTACCAAGCATTAAATACATAATTCCTCCCACTGCTTGTCGATAGGGAAATTTAGATAAGTCTTCAGCTTTCCCTGTTTCGGAATCTTCTACTATTTTGGTCATTGGAGTTGATACTGGTCTGCATTCATCAAAATTGAACCTCTCAAGTATTTTCTTAACATAAGCTGTTTGAGATATTCGTATTGCACCATTTTCTTTCTTTATCTCCAAACCCAAAAAATAATTAGCTTCTTTAGATGTAATTTTAAATTCAGCTCGTAACTCTTGTAATAAATTTTGAACTTCAATTTCGTCTGTTCCTGCAACCAAACCGTCATCTACATATAATACTAAAATAAGTTTCTTTCCATTTTTTATTCTTGTGAATAGACACGGATCAGCTTCACAAACGTTAAATCCAATTTTTAATAAATATTTCACTAATCTCTTGTTCCAGCAACGAGGAGCTTGTTTTAAACCATATAAACTTCTTTTTAATTTACACACTCGTTTTGTACCATCGCTATAGCCCTCAGGTTGTTTCATAAATATTTCTTCTTCTAATTCTCCATAAAGAAAAGCTGTTGCGACATCAAATTGAAATAGATGCATATTATTACTAGCTGCTATACTCAATACTACACGTATTGTTGCTAATCTTGCTACTGGGCTAAACGTTTCTTTGTAATCTATACCTTCTCTCTGTGTAAATCCTTTTATAACTAATCTGGCTTTAAACTTCTCTATGGTACCATCTGGATTCATCTTTACTCGGAACACCCATCTTGACGGTAAAGCTTTTGCACCTTTTGGAAGATCTGCTAATTCCCATGTGTTGTTTTCTTTTAGGGAATTAATTTCAGAATCCATAGCTTTGATCCATTGTTTGCTTTCTTTGGCATTTATAGCTTCTTTATAGTTCATAGGAGTTTCAATTTTATTTATAAAATCTTGGATTTCCATAACAAAATCATCATATTTAGGATTTGATATCAAAGTACGATCTCTTAATCGTTTTGATAATATTAAATCAGAATTGTCATCATAGTCAGCATCTCTCGTACGTTTTCCTCTCAATCTTCTATCAGGAATAACTTCTTGAACATCATCATCTGATATAACAATTTCATCTAAATCATCCTCTAAAGCATCATCATAAAGTTCTTCATCACTATGTTGTTCTTCTTCTATTAATTCTTCATTTTGTTGATATTCATCTAATTCATGTTGATCTTCATCTAATTCATGATCTTCATTGTCTTTATTATCTGCATTTTGACTTCTGTATTCTTCAAACTTAAACTTAACTTCATTATTTTCTTCAGTATCTAAATTTTTGTTGTTATCTTCTTTAGTATTTTGATCATCAGATACGCATGTTTTAATTTTCTCAATAAATTTGACATCTCTGGAAAGTATAACTTCTTGTTTCTCTTTGATGTAAACCCGATAACGCTCATCATCGTCATAACCAATGAGAAATCCTTTTGTAGCTTTAGCATCCATCTTCTTTCTCTTTTGTTTAGGTATATGAACATAACATTCGCATGATATGATTCTTAAATGATGCACTCTAGGTTTCTTTCCCATCCATAACTCATAAGGACTTTTATTTTCTACTGATGACTTGCCAGTTCTGTTTAGTACATATATTGATGTTCTTACTAATTCAGCCCATATAGCATCCGGAAACTTTGCTTCTGCATTGGAATATTTGAATGTAAGAGCCATCTCAACAACTGTACGATTTTCTCTTTCACTAGCGCAATTCTGTTGTGGTGTATAGGGAGCTGTTAGTCTTTGCATGACACCATTCTTCTTTAGAATTGACTTTATTTCATGGTTGTCAAACTCACCACCATTGTCGCTTAATAATTCTTTTATATGATGACCACGATTATTTGCTAACATCAGAACTTCTTCTAAGCAGTCTTTAACTTCAGACTTTTGTTTTACAACAAATCCAAAACGATACTTCGTATACGAATCTTTAAAAATCACCAGGTACTTCTTTTTAGAAAACGACTCACTAAATGGTCCACAGACATCAGCTGTCACGAGTTCACCGGGACTAGTAGCTTTATTTCTATGACCAAACGGCAACCGATGAGCTTTTCCATATATACACGGCTCACAAACAGTTTTATCATCTTTAATACTAATTCCCATTTCTAATTTAAGCATCTTCTGTATGTGTCGTTTGTCTTGGTGACCCCATCTTTCATGATAAAGTTGAAGTAAATCGGAATCTTGAACTTCATTAACTTCTTCCATACCATACTGCTTTATCGCTTTTATATTAGCTTTATAAAGTGTACCACCTACTGATCTTGACCCACATAAAACTATTTCATCATCAACAAATAGTTTACAATTGGTTGCTGTCGATATAAATCTGCTATTTGGTTGTTTATCCTGAGCTGATAGCACTGAGAATAAATTCCTTGTGATATTAGGTACATACCAAACGTCTGTTAAACACAGCCTCTCTGTTTTGTTCTTGACTTTTGATTCAATTTCTATTGTACCTTTACCAATAGCTTGTAGAACTTCTTTACCTGCCGCTCTTATAAAATTTGGACTTGAAAATGACTTAAAATCCTTAAAATTGTCTTTACTATTAGTTATATGGCGTGTTGCTCCATTGTCAATCCACCAACATGTGGTATCGGCATCTTGCACCACATTTGCTTCCTCACAAAAAACAGGCAAACACTTTTGACTCACAGCTTTGGCTTCATTTGCTTCTTTATTAGGCTTACCATCTGCTGCCCACTTGCGACAATCACGTACCCAATGTCCTTTCTTCTTACAGTAGTTGCAAACATCACTATTTTTCTTGTTAAATTTGTTAGAATTTTCAAATTTCTTAAATTTCGTTTTTGCTATTAGTGCTTCTTCAGTTGAGGTAGTATTGCCTTTTCCAAAGTTCCTTTGATACATAGTTATTTGCATACATAGCTCTTCAAATGTTTTCTCTTCATTTTTGCTTAACATCATCCAACTTGATTTGAACGTGTCGAATTTTGATGGTAGTATGTGCAAAACCTTACCCACTAGCAATAAATCTGGTAATTCGTTTAAATTCTTTTCTTTTAGTCCATTGTTGAATTCTAACCATAATCCTTTTAATTTGGCAATATGCATTGTGACATCTTGATTGTCATCCCAAACGAAAGAGAAAAATTCTGCACATACCTTGAACAATTGATCTTTTGCTGTTGCTTCGAAAAGATTTTTAAGAGCATCCCACACATCTGCAGCACTTTCTTTATCCATAACTTTTTGGTAAATTTCATCACTTATTGAACTACACAACACTGATTTTGCATAACTGTTGGCTTTTCTGTACAAACCGCTTTGTTCTTGATATAATTTCTTTTCTTCCGCTGTGGCTGTTGATTCTAGAGGAGTTGGCTTATGTAATTTCCTATCAATTACATCCAATGTTCCTTCATGGTAATCTAAAAGATCTCTTATCTTTCTTTTCCACATTGGCCATTCAGTTTCACCTTTAAGTATCTTGATGTTCTTGCTAAAATCCATATTTGATTTTGTATTTTCTTCTTGTCTTGAAAAAATTTTCTTTTCTTGACTTAAAAAGAAATTTTTCACTTCAGAAAAATATTTTATTTTTTTTTTAATTATTATTCAAGAGCTTCCTGGGCTCATAACCTTTTATTGTAAAAGTTTATTTTCGAATGAATATAAATACAAAACATTTCTCAAATACAAAATTCAATACAAGGTTTTACAAAAAGGGTGTTAACTAAATCTTAACACAAATACATTATTAACATCAACAGTTTCGAGCTATATCAATTGCATTTAATACAAATCAATGATTTTAAAAATATGCATTTTTAAACTCACACCATGCCTGCATTTAATGAGATAGGGCTCTAAAACATATATCATATGAAAGCCCAAATTGTTGTCTACAAAATTTTATGTAATATGAAGTACCGTTACATCGATATATTTTTGAGATAACGGCGCTTTTGTAAAAAAGTCAATATCAACATTTCACCCTGGCTCTCAATGGGTTAATAATTTATGTCAAGATATAATCAATTATATATCAACATTTTGAAGACCTCTAACTCCAGGAGAAATATTTTAATCATGTATATTTTTTTCTCGGAATTAACTGAATTAGAACGTTTGACTTACGCCTGCTTCTATAATTAGAAGGTTTTTTGAACAGTCTAACTATGATTTCTTAGAGTTTAATATGTTATTAATGTATTTTCTATAAAATTTTATGTATACACATTACTAACATCACATATGCAACCTAAAAATTTAAAAGCTAAACAATTTTATTAAATTTATGCATAATAATATAAAAATTCAAATTTGTACATACAATTAAAAAAAAGTAAGAAAAAAGGGAATTTGTGCCACAGTTCTATTCTACATACAAAAGTGCCATCACTGTTCTAAAAATGTCACGTAACAACGTTATAAAATTCTATTTTATACAGGTTGAAACGTTACGGCTACATTTCGGTAAGCATTTTCATTGCTTTTCCTTAATCAAAAACGATCAGCTGACACGTTTTCTTACGGTTACAGTACGTTGCGGTTGGGTAATCCTACCTTAAACGTAATTGAAAAACTTAGCCGGCTTATAGTCGATTTTAAGCCGCCGCCGACAATTTTAGTGTCAGCCGTTGACGCCGTTAATGTTTGTCGGCGCAGGTCTATGGTGGGCTTGGCATTTTTTTTCAGTTCAGTTGACTTTTCTATTACTGCTGCTTTTGTTTTAAGCCAAAAATACTTATTTTGTGTTTATTTTTTAGTTTTTACTTAATAAAACTTATTATTTTCTAATTTAAAACAAAACAATAATGTTCATCAAGTGTATGTGAATAAGTTTAAGTGGAAAACAAGTGAAAAAGGTAAGAATAAAATGAAGTGAAGTTAAAAACATGAATGAATTTCAAACGGAATTTGTGAAGAAGAAAAAAATACGAAATGACACGCTAAGTGGTTGTTGTGATGTTGAGGGAGCTACTACAACAACAACAACGAAAAACATACCTTTGCTTTCGTATTGTTTTCATAGTAAAGTGATGTGTTGTTGTTTTTGTTTGTTTTTTCCTATTTGATGTGAGTGTTTTTTTGATTTTGTTGAAAGAATTGTTAAAGAGTCACACACATGGGCGTTGACCAAATTAAAATAATATATAAAATAATTAATAAATTTTAAAACTAAATGAATTATTAAATATTAATACATCTATATTAATAAAAAATAACGTTTTTTACATAAATTCTTTGTAAAAACAAGTGTTTTTTCCGTGAAACCAAAAACAAATTTGTTTGTGTTTTACTTTAATTTAGGGTTACCAAGTGTAAGTGTTTTATTTTGTTTTAAAATTTTTGTTTTTTTGTTATATTCCCAAATTGTAAACTGTTATACGGTTTCGTATTACAAGCTGCTTGTAATCAATATTAACCTTTTAACCCAGACATCGTTTTTTATAGTATGTGCTGCCAAGTGGCATTCCTTCTCGTTTTCATTACAAATTTGTTTCTTCGCTAATTAACATCAATTATTATGAATCACACAATTTGGCTTCTGTACGACAGTTGTTCTCCCCTTTGCCTGTGTTTTTTTTTTTCAAAAGTCGTACTTGAACAGTGTTGCCGTAAGTTAAGTAAAAAGAAAGTGTAGTTGGTCATTTTGGACAATGTATGATACCCCTACACCAGTTATGATTATAGACTTTTCTATAGTCCAGACTATAAACTATTCTATAGTGTCCAGTCCAGACGATAGACTAACAATAGTGCAGACTATAGACCATTTTATAGTCCAGACTA